CTCTTTGTTCCAGCTGGTGCTGATGAGAGGCTCCAGAAGGTGCATTGCCTTTACCTGTGGATGAAGCACCATGCAGCCAGGGCAGAACAGCACTTAAATACTTGTAGGATGAGGTGGCAACTGAGTTGAGTCTCAACTGAGTTGAGACTCTTCAGTGTACCACAGCATTGGGCTTTTGTGCTTCCAGCTGCTGTTTTTCAGGAGGTTATTTTGTTGGAATAAAAGCTGGGGAATTTGCCTGGGGAGTTTATAGCAGAAACTTAAGTGTGGTGTGGCCAAACTGTAGCCCTTGCCATGGGGTCATCCTTCCCTTCTGAGCATGCCCGAGAGCTCTTTGTTTACTTGTTTTGCTGTTTTCACTGGAAAGGCTTTCATATAATGAAAAGTGACCCGTGAGGACCAGGGAAATGAGGACATTGTACATAGGACATATGGATACCATATGGAGCTGCTGGAGCAATGGCATCATCGGGGATTTAGAGATTTAATTGTATGTTGAACTGAGAGGGGTGCTTTGGGTTTACTGGCAGAGGAGGCTCTGCATGAAAACAACTCGCTGTACATGGTGCGGGATGCTCATTTGGCTGTGTGGCAATGCTGATTCACTCCAGCTGAGGATCTGCCCCATTATTCCTCTACACGGAGAGGAAACTATAGCTTGCAAAAACTCTCTCCAATTAACCCTGAAGAGACAAATAGCATTTTTCCCCTCCATTCAGTAAAAGCTCTATCTTCCTTGCCCAGATCTCTTAAGCATCATCCTGTGTAATGCTTGATGGATCACGTTGTGTGATTAGGCACATATCGAGTGTATCAAGGAGGATGGGGAGGGGGCTGTGAAGATGCTGTACTCCCTGCAGCAGTGTTGCACTGCACTGTCCCTCCCATCCTCAGCACCATGGATCAGAAGCTACCCAAGATGTCCAGTTCCATTTAACACAAAGGGGGATGTGATGAAGGAGAAGCCAGTGTCATGCCCTATGCATGGTACATGAGATACTTGGCCTGCAGCAAGGGAAAGTGAGGCAACTGTGAATTTCATATTGGTTGCAGGACTTTGGTGACCTGCTTTTCTCCACCTCCTCTCATACAAATCTGAAGCTGCCAGGCTTCCTTTATCCCTGGATATCTTCTGTATCCTTGAGGAATACTTAAAATATGTGGGCTTCCCCCTGCCCTGTGGCTAAGTCCTTTTTCCCATGGATAAATCTCTTCTGCTTAAATATCACAGAACACAGATGTGAAGAGAAACAGATTCGGTCATTTACCATGGAAGCCAGCCCAATGCATAAATAAGAGGAGGGAGGACAGGTCCCCATGGGCCTAGAGGACTTGCCCGTCTCTAGCTGCTGTGACATCCCAGCACCATGTAGCCCCAGCAGATGCTCCCATCCTGACCCTTCAGCTGGACAGCAGGCTTAGATGGATGAGTGGCCAGAAAAAATAGAAGAGAGTGAAACTCACTGCTTATTCTTTAAGATACCTTTTCCTGGAACTCTTTCCTAGATTTTCTACTCTACATTTTTCAGGTGTCCTGCTCCTGTTTCCTTTACCACCAGCAAAAGCAGCTGTTCTTGTCCTCCGTGAGCCTGCTCTGCTGCATGCCATGGGGCTGGCTCTGCCTACTCACTGCAGGAGGCTGGCCCAAGACCCAGGGTCAGAAGGAACCCATCTGGCATCTGAATAAAGGAGCTTTATCTTCAGGAAGCTTGGTGTTATCTGAGGGGAGGCAGATCTGAGCAGTGCTATCTGCATGTCTTCTTCTGGCACCACAAGGAGAACAAGGCTTTTCTCATTGCCTGCATTGGTCTGCATCCCTGAGCATCCCTGAGCCTGCAATTTGGACTTCACCCTGTCCCCCTTCCCATTTGGGCTAGCTCAGGTGAAGATACTCTTCCACAGGCTGAGCCTAACCCTTTGTGTGAACCCTCTTAATAGACCTTGAGTCTGCTTTAGATCAATTCTGTTGCATTCAGTTCGTTACCAAGCTGGGACAAATTATCACAGCTTTACTGTTACTGGAGAATACACTTGCTGTTTGTTTTGGTTGTTCCTGGTTAGCTCACTCTATTTTCCCTCATTTCTTCCCCAGGCACTTTCTGCCCTCCAGGTTCTCCTCCCAGCTCTTTGTCCCCAAAAGGTGTCCTTGCTGTGACACACCTTTGGCTAAAATTGAGCACCCACAGTGAGGACGGTGGCCAGGGCCCTTAGCAATGGTCAGCCCTTGGTCAACCACCCAGGTTGCTCATCCTTTCTCACACAGCCCTCGTTATTCCAACCCATGGCTTCTTCTGGTCCCTAGAACAACCAGATCATCTGGAAAAATTCTGGCAAATACTAAATGGAAATGCTTGCAAATTTGGGTCAAATCCAGCAAATAAGTTTGGCTGGGAAAGGAAAAGCGTGAAGAGAAGGAGGAATTTTGAAAATGTCAGGCGATGTCACTTAGATATGTGAAAAATGAGATGTTCCATTTTGGAAAAGTCTAAATTGCATCAACATTTTTTAGACTGACTTCAGACATTCAAATAACATTCCAGCCATTGAATTTCAAAGCTGTTTTTGATTGAATTGTTGACTCGCTTCTCTGTTAACTACAAAAAGTAAAAATAAAAAAAAATTAAAAAAGAAGAAGAAAGAAAAAAGAAAGAGGAAGAGTTTCAGAAGACACACAACACAAAAGTGAAGTGTTTCCTCCAGGGCTCAGCAGAAAGGCTTCAGGATGATCTGAAACACCATCTTTAATCTTGTTTAACAATCATCTTGTTTGTTAAGAAAAATGTATGTAAAACTTTCTCCTTCAGTTTGGCCCAGACAATTCTCTTTACTTCTCCTCCTCCTTAATGATGTGAAAAGTCAGTACTTTTCTCACTGAAAGGGTACATTAAGAAGGATGTTTTTTTCACCCAGTCCCTGTCAGAGCCTTGATTTCCACCATTTTAAACAGAGCCTTTGTCCTTTGGCTATAAGGGCAGTTCCTTGAGAGGGATTGTCTTTGCTAGTCTAACATTAGACTTTGCAAATCCACCCAGTAGGCACCCTTAGAGATTGGTAGAAGTTTAGTTATACCACGAATAGATTTGAAGTTAGTTCAATGCACTTAGTACAGGCATACCTACAGACAACAGCTTTCAGCAAATGGTGGCTCATTCAAAGAAAAAAGTGGGAGCCCCACTCCATTGCAGTTTAATATTAAAATGAAAATGAACTTCCCCATTCATTCATCATGACATTTTTACCTTAAAAAAATGCAGTGAGCAAAAAAATTCCTCTAGATTTTTAGGAGGGTGGGGGGAGGAGAGAGGTGAAAGATATAATGTACTTTTTAATTTTATTTCCATTATGCTGTGAGTTAGTTTTCATGGAAATTCTGAGGAAGCATTTGGGAGAGAGCCCAGGAAACAGAAGAAATTAAAAGAAAGGGCAAGATTTGTGTGGTTTATGGGAAAATGAACTGTGAATCATTTCCAAAGTGAGGTTCCTTGTCCACCAGCCAGGAGCCTCCTGGCATTCCCAGGAGACAGGTTTCCAACGGGAACCTGTCTTGTGTGCCTGGCCTGGCTTGCCCAAAGCTACTCTGAAAGGCCAGCAGCACAGCTACAGCAGCACTGTGGGGCTCTGCTCTGTCACAGGTATGGCTTGTGTGAGCCCATCTGCAGCCATTTCTGCCACATCAGAGATTGCAGCGTGGGGGCATCTGCAAGCACACGAGGATGTCAAGAGAAAATGTTACTTCAAAAACTAGAAACCTCACCCCAAAAAGCCCAGAGACCAACCGCAGCACCTGGGTTTGGCTGAGAACAGTGATGCCCAGTCCTGTGAGCGATTTGCAGCATTTTATTCTTTTTTCTCCAGCTCCTCTTCAGTGTTTCTTATCATCACTCCCTGCTAATTAGCATGCTGATTGTGGGTTGCTTGCTTCTTCTGAAATGTGCTAAGATATACAGTTCTGGAAGAAGCATAGTGATAAAACTGCAACACCTGTAATTATCTGCAGTAATTGCTACAACTTGGGTCCAATGGCGGAGAGCCACGCTATTATATCACATCCTCCTCTGCCTACCAGCTCGTGGGCATCCTCTGCTTCCCAAAGCACCTTCTCCACAACCAAGCTGCAGCATCTGGCCCTCAGCAGCCGCAGAGCCTTCCTCCCAGCCAGGCAGCAGCAGCCTTTCCACCCCATGCTCAGAAACGTGGCTTTTGCCTCAGGGGAATATTGAGCACAGATGACAAAAATCACCAGGGAATCCATAAGCGCCACAGTTAAGATCATTTCACTGTCTTCTTTGTAATTTCCTTGTTTGTGTCTAACTCTGCTGTTCACGTAGGACTCGGTCAAATCCCACCCCACCTTCCTCACCAGCGTGTGCCTGGCACTCACTGACGAAATCAAGCAATAACGCTGTGAAACCTGGACCAACGCACATCTCATGAAGCAGATCACAAACCTGGGGGCACAGAAATTGAGAAGGAGAAAACCACCAGGCTTGAGAAATCAAACATCTTTTAATCAGCACCCTTCTCCTGACCTGACAGGGAGGATACTACTTTGCAGGTTCTCCCACTTTCTTCTGACCTACGCAGCAGCCCCTGCATCCCAGCACTCATCTCACAGCATCTGAGCAATGTGAATCATACAGCCAGGGTTTATTCACCATCACATGACAGGAGCACACCCACGTTCATCACTTGAGATAACTGCATCTTCACCCAGGACAAGGGGGACTTCACCACTTCAGGCAACAGCAGTTGGAAGCTCCTTCTGCTGAGGCTGCTATGGGACATGGGGACACGATGAAGCTGGTCAGATCTCTGGGCAACTCAGCAATGAGTGAACCAACCACGACAGCAAGAAACCAGGTGTCCTCAGGAGTGCTTTATGTCAAGCCCACGCTGAAGAGAAACAAGACAGCTGACCCCAATGAGCTACAAGCCTTCTGTTCTCCTTTGAGATGGGCAGCAACATTCAATGATCAGTCTAGAAGTCTACCTGGTTTTCAGGTACTGGTGTGCCACGTTACTCAGTTAGGTGCTGCTTTCTGTGACCCCACGGAGCAGTTGTGGCACTCCCTCTCTTGAATCCCAAGCCCTGTGGCAGCAGATACTCTGGAGGACATGGCAGGCCTTGATCTCAGAGAAGTAAGATGGAGCACAGAGGTGACTGGAGATCCCTTGGCCCTGCAGCCCATCAGGCTGGGGCTGAGCTGAGAACCTGGGCTGGACCCGATGCCTCTCTCTGACAGCTCCTGGAAAAGCCGCTGCCCTCAGCCCTGCTGCAAACCTCGACACTGGGTCTTTGACCACAGCGTGAGATGCATCTTTTCAGCCAAAACCCTTTTGGAACATGAACATTTAAGCACCTGGCAAAAACAGGCTCTAGAAAGGATGGTATCATGACACCTTGCCTCTTAATCTAATTATATATATGTTGTACTTACAGACAATGGCCCCAACTCGCTCATTTCTACCAAAATAAACAGAGATAGCAGACATTTGACAGCTGTTTCTGCAGATGGCACAACTAAATTTTATTATTCTTTTATGTTTGACTTCAACAGAAAAATGTGATTTAATTGCACTGCTATTTGCAAGGCAGCTTTAATTCATTTTATAAAATAAGCAGAGTAAAATTCTTTTACCTAATTTATATCTGTAGATTATTTTTGATTATTCATCTTGATTTCTCCTCTGTTGCTTTTTTCTTTCTCTTCTCAAGTTGGCTTCAAATGTAGTTTTTCCTTCATTTCCTGTATTTTTGCCTCCCTTTCTCTCTTCCTCCTTCTATTGTTTCTTTGTTTCTTTAGCTGATTTAAATAATATTAATAAAAAAGAAAGGTGGTTTTATTTTTTATTCATCCATTTTCATCTTGCTTTCCTAAGGAAATAAGACATGAGACAAGGTTTTCTGTCCAGCAGTCTCTTTACTTTATACAGTGAAAGTCACAAAGACAACAAATTCTTCCAAGTTTCATGAAAATCAGTGACCAAACAAAGGCATCCAAGCTAGGAACTTGCTGAGGAAAATGTCGCAGTGTGCATTTAACAGCTTTTTATCCAGTTTGGTATACCATCACATCAAACTGCGAGCGGATATCAGCCAGATGTTCAGTGTCTGTGTTGTCTGGGCTCTGAGTGGAAATAACTATGGGGACAGTGGGTACAAATTTATAGGAACTCTCATTACATTCCTTCTGCTGTTCATAGTACAGCTTGCTTCCTAAGTTTCCTAGAAGATATTTTTGTTTTTAAGTAAAAGTAAACAAAACTTCTACTTTCATCTGGTTTATGAAAAAACACATAGTGCTAAGGGAAAAGACAAGAATGAAAGAACATAAGAGAAAAAGATTTCAGACTAAATGCTAACTCGCAATTGTGAACAAAGGAGCCGTTTCTTGCTGTTTCATTCCTGCTTTGTCCAAGGACACAGGGTTTCATGTACCTTCATTGTAAATAAAGCAGGGCTACAGTAAGGAAATACAGGGCTCCATTATCAGCTTTATTTCTCCTAAATGAAACAGTCCACAGGACATTTAAAATTGGCTTACTGTGCAAGTCAAAAAGGGATAATAGTTTTGTGAAGTGAACCAAAATGATCCCGACATTGCACAGACCTGGTGCATGTGCATTATCTTAGCGCTCCACGTCTGTTTATTTTATATGTGTTGACACGTCAGAGCTCTGACAAGGCTGGAGCTGAGTTTCCATTCCCCTGGAAACATTTAACCCTCCCCAGACTGACAGCCTTGTTAAAGTGAACAGAGATGAGCCTCAACATCTACCCATCCTCTCGGCCCTTTCCCATGCCCACTGTCTCCTCCACCCCACATCACATCTTCTAAGCTCATTTGTTGCCCAACAGCATCCAAATTGCAGTACCAACTTTGAAACAAAACAACTTTGGGTTCATTTTCTTCTCTTTATGATTTTGAACTGCCAAGTAAGTTGGTCTTTGTCAGATTTGTCTCTCCTATCTGACACAAAACTCCATCTTTTTTTTTTTTTTAATTGAAGTTGTGATGGTCATCTAGCTCCTGGTTTCTAGGGGTATACATTTTAGAAAAGCAGCATCCCAGACCACAAGATTCATGATAATGATTGAGCAGTACTGGTATCTGCTTTAGGGCACTTTTTCTAAGATTTTTGGGCTTGTCTTGTCTTGAGTTGCCAAAGAGCTTTCTTGACTCCCAACATGGGGCCCTCTACCCTCATTGTGATGGAGAGGATTTCTCATGCCAAAAAAGAAAATCATATGTATTGAATGAATCATGACTCTCTCCAAAAGGAGTCACAGATTATTTTGCTTTCCATGTTAGTCTCAATAACCGTACTCAAACTTCTAGCCCTGTAATGCTGATGTCCCCATTTCTCAGATTTCAGACATCCCTTGCCTGACATAGTCCAGTGCCTTAAGCATTAAGAAGTTTCCTTTATTGAATTGTATTTTCATTCTGCCTCTACCATTCCCCTTCCCACACCCCCTCAGGATTTTATAACCTCCATGCTCTATTTTGGCTAGTGATGTCAAAGACGGCGCAGTTACCATGGAGAAGTAGGGGACAGACTCCACTGAGACGGACACAAACATAGCCTAAATCTACAGCAAACTTGTGATTCATCAGCTAAATTGCATGTCATCATTAATGGCTTGCAAAAGGGGTCATCGATAATTTTTCATTTTAATGCATGCAGTGGTGGATAAGTTTATTAAAAACTTCATGAAAGCTTTGCTAATGTTTACATCAGAAGAAGCCACAACACATGTTATTAATGAATAAGTGGAACAATATCAGGCACCATCTCAAGAGTGGTTACAAGAACAAGGCTGTAGTAACCAAGCTAGGGGGCTGGAGCTTTTCACTGAAAGCAAACAAAATTACTCATTGCATACTAGGATCAATGTTGCAATGATGCACAGATAATGCAAAGAGCTCCTTAAATGGTGAGCAAAGAGCAAAACCCATGGCTCTAGGTTGTGTAAAGGGCATCTCCATGAGGATGCACTTACTTATTTCAAAATATTTCTTGTTTTTCTTTCTGTTGCTTTGTTCATTTCTAACATTTGGTTTATTATTTTGATTTTGCTTATCGTGTGAAACATTTCATTCCCACATGACCCTCTTTCCTCAACATTGTTTAAAGCTCTCCTTCTTCCATCTCTCTAGGAACATTTTCATAAGATGAAAGCTCCACAGCTGCCTTCACCTGCATGCATGGCTAAGCTCAGTACCAGCTGTAGGAATGTCATTTGGCTCCATAACACTGGCATCCCATGCACTCACTGGCCAAATAAATATTTATGACCACCTGAAAATCCTGTGTTACCCGGATTTGGGAAAAAACATTTCAAAAGCACCAAGAAACACCTTTTTTGGTAATAAATTTGAGGACTGATGTGCTGTGCAAAAACACTCTATGAAAATATCTTTGCATATTGTTTCTTAGAAATATTCTAATATTCTATTTCTATCTTAGGAAATATTCTAATTTATGAGTAACAATAACAGGATTTGGAGTTATTTGCTTTCTCTGTCCCCTCGATGTTTGGGAGGCTTTTTTGCTCATCACCAGGCTTCTGGGTGGTAACTCAGCCTGACATATTTTTGTCTCTAGCAATAAAGTGTCTAAGCTGGAACCCTGATTTCAGTTCACAATCCGACACATGCAGAACAGCATCCAGTTTGCTCTCCTATAGTTTTACAATGTTTTCAAGACTGTCAAGTATAAAATCATAGTTAAAATGACGTCAGCAAAAATATTCTGAATCTTGGCAAAAAGTGCTCGTTATTTCACAGTGGAACTTCTTGCTGAGGTGTTGTGGAAGCTATAGGGTTCTCCAGTGATTATTAAACGTAGTCACCCAGAAGCACCTCTCAGCTCAGGATTTCCCATAACCACTGTTTTTTGGCAGGGTTCTCCTTGTGCAAGAGCGCTCGTGATATACTCATTTTCTACTCTTTCCTATGCATGTAAAATTGCCCAATGGTAAAGACAAAGGAAAGTTGGGTCTTCGGTTTGCACCACTATGGCTGTTGGTGTGATCTTACATTTACATCAACTCTTCTAATACAAATAACATTAACTTGCTTTGGAAATCCTGGCTCTGATTTCTGTCACCACACTGGATGCATAGAGGGAGAAGAATGGATCTGCTAAATGGTGTTCTTTTCATCTTGCAGCTCACTTCTTTGAATGCAACCACTCTTTATCAGTTTATGTAGTTTTATTCAGTAATTGCTCCCATTCCTTCAGTATGTAGGATCTCGGAGAACACTATGTGGAGTATGGCTGTGCTGAGACTGTTGTGTGAGCAGTACCATTCATAGAGCCAGAGCAAGCACAGTGGAAGAGCAAAAAGGGCTGGGAACCATTGTCTGAAGGCTGCTACAACACCGGCATCAATCTTCAGAACAGTTCCTAAACAGTCTGACTCCATTTAATAGTCAAGATCTGTGTTTTTTTAAATCTTTGATATTTATATTTGAGAACATTCATTTAGAGGGTCAGGGCTGATGTTAACCATCCCTCTGCTAAGTCTGTGTTTTCTGCTGTCTGGCAACACGACCCTTTTCCCTAAAGTTCCCAGCTCCGCTCAACTGGACTTACTCTCTACAATGAAGCAAAGAGTCCTGATCAGACAAGAAAGGGGTACAGTTAGCTTCAGAAATGCATCCCACCCAGCCAGGGTAAGAATTAAAAATAAATAAATAAATAAATTAAATAACAAAAGGCTCCCCGTTGTGCTGCAGTACACAAGGAATATCTTGTTCTTTTTGAGATCCATGTGAGAAGCTTAAAATGAATTAGTTTGTTTTATGGATTTTAACTCTGCAGTCAAACAACTCCATGTATAACAAATTTGCAGAATGGGGGATGCTGCTACAAATCTGCAGTTCAAAGAGAAGAAGAAATACATCTCTTCTTTCCCTATTTATTTCCTTTCCTCGCCCCCCATCTCCCAGCTAAGGGAGCTGTTCTGCAGAGTGCTTTTCATTAAGCAAAACCCATTTGTTTGACGGCTGGAACTCAGGGAAGCAGGAGTAAACACTCCCCATGAAGCACCAACGTAATTTTTTTTTTTTTTTTTTTTTAAGGATGGGAGTTTGCAATGACCAAACCACATTTTGTACTCAAAAGCCACTTATATAACCAGGCGGAGAGTGCCCAGAGACTGTCTGAGAGCTGTTTTTAGAAGAAATGTTTTGTTCTGTTATCTGGGCTGTCCTAGGAAGACCCTACTGGGAGGATGTTGTTACCAAAGGGTGTCCTAAGTGGGTCTTCTTGGAATGACCCTTTGTGCAAGATGAGAGACATGGGACATGGCATGGTAAAACACTGCTGTGAAAAGCCATCTGAATTTCCTTTAAAATGTTTAGAGATGAGCTGTTTTCTTCCTGCCAAGATGGATAGCCATCTTCACCAATTTTCATTCCTGGTTTTGGTGGAAAATGTGATATTGAAAATTACAAAGGGTTGTTGTTTTTTTGTTTTCTTTCATTCTGTTTTGTTTTCTGAAGTCCTAGCATATTTCTCTTCTCTGGTATGAAGTAAAGATTAGGAATGTGAAGGTTTTGGGGAAAAAAAAATCTTTTAAAATTCAGTGAAATTTTTCATTTGCTGACCAGGGTCATCTACCAACAATGCAAAGGCCTCTGCCTGTGCTCCCTTCACCCCATTTGTACTGAAATTCACTCTCCTCACAGTTAGACGTCACTGCCTGAAAGCCTCTCAGGGCAATGGTTCCCAAGACAATAAATTCACAGTTGCCTCAAAACGAATCATCTGAAAGTGGTCACTGCTGCGTGTCACAGCCTACAAATTGGCTCTGGCAAATCAAGTATGACTGACCTTTTTCTGAGTCATTTATTTTAGTATACCTGCCGTAACTTGTTCCACTCTGCTGTACTCCAGGTCCATCCTGATGGCTTAGGTACTTAGCAATAATGCTTCCCTCCTCCTTTCTGATTTTAGGTCTTCCTTTATGTTATCTTCATCAGCACACTTCAGTCTTTTCCTGCCATGTTCCACAAGTTCTCCTGGATGTGGAGAGCTATGGTGCCACCACCTCTGCACAGTGTTTTTGGGCTCAGTGCTGGATGCAAACCAGTCCCAAGAGGAGACATTGGCTTGCCTTCTGGGATGAGAGCTCTTGAGGAAATCGTAGCTGGAAACCCCACTTTACCATTGCATTTCACACTGGCCATTAACATATGGTTGCAAATGAAGCACAGACCAGTGCAGTGCCAGATGAGAGGCCCTCAGGAACATAAGCAAGAAGCAGGAATCATAGAATCATTAAGGTTGGAAAAGACCTCCAAGATCACCTGGTCCAACCCATAAAGGCTGTGCCCTGGATGCAAGGAGCTGTTCTGTATGTAGCCCTACTACCTCGTGGTATTGTATCCTGCCTTGCTGGAGGATAGATAAGATTTAGATGGAGAGCAAATGTCCAGTGGGACCCCATATATCCTGGTAACCAGTGTCCCTACGTTTAAGGACTAATGGCCCCAGTGATGTAGAGGAGGCCAGGGACTAAGCGTGCTGTTCCGTGGTGTGCTTATTATGGTGTGTGCTGGCACTTGTTCTAACTCAGCCATCCATGTGGCTGGCCAAAAGCTGGCATCTGTTTAGCATGAGCATGCAGCAGCATTTCTTATAATGGTTGCAAGCTGTGTTTGGCCCCAACCCAACCCTGCTCACACTGCTCTGTCACTGCTCGTGTCTTCTAGTTTTACCTCCCCAGCCTGGACACCAAGTCCTACCAGATACAGCCTGCTGATCCAAGGTGGTCTGTGACCCATGGCTCCAAATATACGCCTGCCTGCACTGGTCCTATGTCCTGATGTTTGTCCTAGGACTGCTGTGCTGTCCACAGCTGGGACAACCCTACACTAGCCTGATGGCACATGGTAATGAGCCCTGCCTTAGTCTGCTGGACCTGCCTCACCCCTCATCCAAAACCTGCATTGGCTGCTTCCACCACTACAACCCTGGTCTTGTCCCCTCATCTACCACCTTTGCTCTGACATCTCTGCAGTGTCCTTTTCCCAATCTTCCTTCTTGACTTAGGTTTCCTATGACCTTTCTCATATTTCCTCCTGCATAATTTTTGGCAACCACTAACAAACACCTAATGTCTCCTCCCTCGTCCGCCCTTCCTTCTTTTTGGCACTATCAGCGATGCCACTCTCCCCTCTGGTGCCAAGGTCTGGTGTGACCTTCAGCCTCCCTCTCTGCCTTCCATGACTTTACAGTTAATTTCTACAGCTCCAGCTTAGCAGCAATCCAGGAGTTGCAAGAGCCTGTGGGCTGGCTGACAGCTGGTTCTGCACATCTCTATACACACTATAAATAAATGTTTGTGCCAGCTGCTGAGACCAGAAAGCAGGGTTTAATTCAGCCATGGGTGCTTTTTTTTAATAATAAAAAAAAAGATTAAAATTAAAATTAAAATTAAGGATGGTGAGAAATTGTAGCCATATCCCTATGTTGGGATGTGGGAAACTGAAAGTCTCCATGGTTATTTATGCTGGTAGTGTTTTCAGCTGGCAGTTCTCTGGGGTATTTGGGAATGACAGTTTCCTTTGGCTGAGGGGCATGGTGATTTATGACTTAAAGATGAGTGCAAGCATGCACATGCACGCACATTTGCGCATGCTAGATGCATCAAACCACAACCAATGAACCAATGCACCAAAACTGCAGGCAGCTGCTTAGTAACACAACACCTCCTACCTGCAGCAGCCTTACTTCCAGGTCCTGTGAGGAACTGCTGAAGGCAATGGCACATGGCCATCTCCATCATCCCAGAAAAACCCACGTCACCAGGCTCTGTCCTGCAAGGCAGACTCTGTCACTGCCGATCAGGTCCACTCTGGACAGAATGAGTCAACCCTGAGCAATAAAATATTAGCAAAGTAACCACCATGGATCCACTGGGACTTTTCTAGGAAACTGTTTCTGCTTCATTCCCACCAATTCAGATTTACTCATCCCTTTTAATCCAGACAGAAACTACAACCTCAGGAAAAACACCAACATGAAATCGACCTTCACTCCTTATCTGAAAGCCCTGCATGAATTCTGCTCCCTGCAAGCTTTCACTGCTGGGGCAGGATGACCTGCTCAGGCCATGGTCCATACCATCATCTTTTAACGCCCTGTCCTTCATACTGTCCTTCAAACTGTGATGCTCTTTTACAAACCTGTTGTATGTAAAATAACAAAAAGCAGTGGGAAGGGTGATACTTTAATTTCAGTAAATGATGTTTGCCAAAAGTAGTTGTTTTTTTTTTTTTATTATTATTTTTTTTTTTTTCTGTAGATTGAGAAGTGGTTTCTGTCCCTCTAAATCTGTAAAGTATGGGTCTCAGAAACATATTTCACCCTTATGGCACAAAATATGTCTCCTGAGTGGAATTACTGTAGGCTTGAGCATAAGCAAGTGCTCTTCTTGTAAAGTGGCACAATCCCAAATGTGCCGGTGATTATGGATTTTATACAGTTTTTATGGTGTAACTGTGGAATTAATCTCCAGGAAAACTGCCATGGACATCAAACAAGCTCAGATCAAGGGCTCCATTTCAAGTAAACATTTAAAGTGACCTCACTTTCCATTTCTTCTCTCACCCTTCCCTGGAGCACTTCTTCATCTGCCCGGTCAGTACCACATCTTTCTGCCCATTTGCAAGGCTCTGCACACACCGTAGGCAAGAAGCAGAATCTAGGCAGAGCAGCACAGCTCCAAAAGCTGGTATGTCCTTCCTGCCAGAAGCCAGGCATTGCTAGGAGGAGGCTCAGCGTACTGCAGTGCTTGTGGGTATGGCTCTGGAGAAGCCTTTAGGGCTCAGATCCAGACTCATACCCGCAGGGCATTCCCATGAGGGATGAAGCTCATAGCCCCATGGTCCCAAATAACATTGGGAGGGCATAGCTGTGAAGAGAGACCTGGCACAGAGCACGAGGCTGGTCCTCTCCCTTGAGTCTGCTGCAGGCATCAAGGCCAAGAGAAGAAAGGGAAGGTGTGGGGACTGGATGCTGGGGTGCTGGAGCTGAGCACAGCATGTCTCTGTGAAACAGTCAGCATTTCTCCGTTCCTCTCCTCAGAGCCAGCTGCGTGTTTTGTCTGAAACTGATCTCTCGTTTGAGCTACTTGAAAACAAGCACTGAGAAGCCCCTATTGTAAACGCCATAGAGAAACACAAAGGAGAGAGCCCAGAGTAAAAAATATTTCCATAATAAAACTGTCAAGGGGGAGAGAGAGGCTAGAAACCTTTGTAACGCCAAATAATTAAGTTAAGAACAGAGACGTCCTCTCCAAAGTGCTTGACATAAACTATCTTCTTAATGCTCTAATTGGAGAGGAGCAGCGCGGGGTGAGGTGTGCGTGTGGACCAGGGGAGTGGGAATTTCAGTGTGGTGGCCCGGGGAAGAGAGCCCGGGAGATGCAGGCTTTGGGCACATGGCTTGAGCTCCTGCCAAGATGCACAGAAATCCCCGCTCCCTCTCCAAATTAGACCCCTCCCGCACAGCCTGCAAGTGAGAGCAGCCAACACCGGACCACCCAGGGCAACGGGGAGGAGGCCAGCACAGATAAAGCAGAACCAGAGATGATGCAAGGCGAGGACGGATTGGGCAATAGAAACGTACTCTCCAGTAGACAAGAGAAAACAAAGAGTTCACTGATGATGGTGGAACGTGACCTCTGAGCTGTGGTCCAGCCTGGAGTGGGAAGTCCCCATGGCACGGTTCTCTGTGCACGTACCCAACCCGGGATGGCACGCAGTGGGCCATCGCTGGCCTCTTGGCACTCACAGCATGGTGAGTCCTCAGCCAGGCTGTTTTCCACCCAACAGCAGTGGGTTGGCTCTACCAAAGGCATCTGCCCTGCTGGGAGAACTGTCCCCATGCTCACCTCTCAGTAAGAGTCTACCAAAAAGGAACAGATTGCAGTGTTGGGGTCCCAGCCTGTTTCTCAGTTAGGTGCTGAGAACCCTTCCCTTTCCTGTTGATCATTTAGGATTTAAACTTCTCAGCACTGGATCAGTGGCTGGTCCACATAATATCAGCCCTTTTCTGGTTCTGCATCACACAGACCTTTTCCTACCTGCACTGCTTTTACCAGAGGGCTGTCTCCCTGAGATGGTGAAGGATAATAGCAAGAGGTCACTAAAACCTGGTTTCCTTCTCTCTTTGTGCCCTTCAAGGCCACAGAAAGCCCTACCAAATAGATGTCAAATGCCAGGAGATTCAAGCCTATCTAGAGATAGGTGATGAGCTCCAGATTATTGGTCCTCTAGACTTGCAGAACTTCAGGTGGCCTTGGTTCCCTCCTTCGGGTTTGCAAAGACCATCCATAAAACAGGCACTGGAATACAGCCTAGGCTACTTATTCCTCTTCCTCACTGCAGTTAGGGGAAGAAACCTATCCGACAGAGAAAAATCACTTCTGGTTCTGCTCTAGGAGCTGGATGAAGCAGTTTGTGCCCCCTGAAAGCCTCTCATGCACTTCATGGCTCAGAGGCAAGGCATGGATTATTGTGGGACTAGGAAGAAAATCCATGTTTCTGAACAATTCACCTACTGTTTTTTTTTTTTTGTTTTGTTTTTTTTCCCAGACGTTGTCGGATAAGTGCATCAAATGAAATAACAGATAAAACACAGACATGGAAACCAAGACAACCAAGAACCGACGGACTTCAAACGACAGAAATAACCCCAACAGATCAATACCAGGCCAGGCAACCCAGCAAAGCCTGCAGTCTGAAATAGTCCTCCATCGAATTGAGAGCAGAAGTCGCTCCCATTTCAGAAGCACTAGAGTCATTCGCACGCCAGGTATAAAATATAAACACCAGACACTTGGCATTGTGCAGCTACCTGACAAAGGCATTAAGTTACTTGGACTCACTTGAAGCACAGTCTTTTTATATTTTCAAAACACCAAGTTCCATGCAAGTATTCAGGCTGCCATGGCAACGTCGTACATTTGTTCCTGAGTGTCATTTCCCATCGCAATTGTTGTTTTTTGGTGTACATTTTTTTTTTTCCAGAACTTTGCCTGACTTCAAAACTTTGGTTGCTGAGGCAACATCTCTTTTTGAAGGGAAGTGATAGGCTGTGCCCCTCTGTGCCAAGGCAAGGGCTGTTCTTTGAAGACCGGCAGGCTATAGAAAGAGAGGAGGTGTTAGGGAGGCTAAAAAGATACCGGGAAAAGCAGGGCAAGAGGAAGCAGTGGTGCTGAGAAGTGGCTACAAAGGGGCAACACACGCCTTCGCATGAGGCAGGTGGGACGGGCTCTGAGTGGGAGGCTCCAGGCTTAGCACAGGCGAGCTGATGTGCCACATTACATCAGGGGGAATATTAAATGCGGTCCCAGCGAGGTAACGCTTTGTCTCTGATGTATCCCTCGAGGATCTTGTGGAGATGCATAGTCCTCACAAGACCTCCCCAAGGAAGGAATCTGTCACGGGGATGGTTTGACACAAGAAGCGACTGAGGCAGAGAGAGTTTGGATGAACTGTTGAAGGTCACACAGTAAATTAGTGGCTCATATAGGAATAAGCCCCTGGAGGTGTTGTGTTTCATTTGTAAGATCATCATTCCTCTGATATTTAACTTACGCTTAAATAGAAACCCATTTACCTTCTGCAGAGAAGCACTGCAATCACTTTTTCTCTAGCTAACACATCACAGTCCTCACCTCTGCTATTTGTCAACGTATTTGGCCTGAAATGCACCGAAGCAGGGACTCCTTTCTTTCCAGGCAGCAGGGCCCCGATCCACACTCTCCCTGAAACTGAAAAACAAGTAGTGGAGGAGGCCCCAAAGGGGGTGGCTAGGTGGTTCAATGATGAGGACATGTATGGGATAAGGCCGTGCATGTGCCATGGGACTGGAGGCAGCATACAGGGTGCAAGAAGTGATGAAAACAGACCAGAAGTGGCAATAGGACAACAGCACGGGAGGAGTGCATAGCTGATACAGGGACTGAAAGCTGTACCTGGGACACCACACTGTCACAAACCGGTATCAATGGCACAAGCAGGAAAAGTAGCTTTAATGAAATTAATGCTCAGAAGACATAATCGAAGCAGCAGCAAATGCAGATCAGCCAGGCAAAACTCTTCAGAGCATCTTTAAGAGAGAAGACCTTACAAGTAATCTTTGCTGTAGAGAATTCACCCACCTCTTGCTGTGGGGCCCAGAACAGAACCCTTTACATCCTTTCTTACTTACCAGCAGCTGGCTTACATGCTAAAAACAAATCATCACTTCAATAGGGGTTCTCCCAAGCCCTTAGTTCATGCACTGCCTGTGAGCCAGCATCTTCCCTGACCTGCAGATTCACACTGTAGGTGCTGCTGGAAAGCAAAACCAGCGAGTGCAATCAGGGTTAGTACCAGCTATGGCTTTTCCAGAGGGCATGGCTGATTCATTGGGCTCGCTCGCCATGTCTCCACTTTGCAGCCCGTGTCTCAGTGCCCCATTTCCAGCCTAATGATGACTCTGATGCCCGTGTATGGGTCACTGGAGATTAGGTTTTGATTTCTATCCATTTCAGCAATTCATAGCTGACTGCATGAGCAGAGACAAATAGAAACCTGCTGCCTGGATCACCACCTGCCTCTTTCGAATCTGGGTCATTGTAGCATTTAAAAATACAAACAGCCAACACAGCCCTGCCAGGCAGAAGTAAAAATGGTAAGCAAAGATGAGATGTCAAAAGAGAAACATACAGACGCAGGAGGCAGAAGGCTTTGTCTTTCTCCTGCATTTGTCTCTGATGCTCCTTGCCCAAGGGCATTGAAATTTAATTGCCCCTTCCATGTTGATAGAGAAGACCAGAAATGGCCCATGGCCATCATATGTCTGGCAAGGATCTCCCCAGGGGCTGTATCCTCTGCATCCTGGGACACTTTCTTCTTCCAAGTGACCACAAAAGCAGCTTGTGGAGGGACTCCCATGGTGATAATATTTCTCTGATGATTTCCAGGGATTGCTTTTTTCCACAGACTTCTCTTGTCCAGGCACAAGAGAACTTGACTACGGGGGGTTTTCCTCACCAGTTCTGGATGTCCCACTTCTTTGGGCATCTCAGCTCATTACTAGAAGCTTTGGCCAAGGTTATGAGATCCTGGGACAGTGCACTGTGCTCTCCCTTGGGTGATGCAGAACATCCCTGGAGCACAGCTGCACCAGATGCAGAAGGAGGGGGAGACCCTTTAGCTCCAACACACAATATTTGCTGTAGGGGCTGAGGAAACCTTCAGGACATCTTCCCTGCTTGCCCATGCCAGCATGGGGGGATCGAGTCCTCTCCCATATTCAAGCATCTGAGAATTGCCTGGGACTCTCCTGTTCCCAAAGGCATGACATTCAGCTGCTGGATGGCCCAGAAATAAAACCAAGCAACTTGTGTAAAATGTATCTGGACCTAAGCCATGTTAACCATGAATGCTGCTCTCCCCTGTGGATACAACATCTGCCCATTGGAATAAACAGGAAACTATTTTATCCTCTGGGGAACAAGAAAGGTGAAGGGGTCACAACTGTAAATCGTGTGTCTCTGGGTTTGGGGCATGCAGCAAGAGCTACAAACAAATAGGTTTTCTGTTTTTTCTCATAGAACAGGGAGTTAAATGCTGGGCTTCTCCCTCTGAGCTGGTCCTCTGACCTAATCCTACCCTTTTGTCCAGTGCAAAAGACAAAAGAGCAGACGTCCTGGTTTCCCCACTGAGATTGGATAGCATGCCATGGAGAATCACTGCAGCAACATGCTTGCCAGGTCACATGAAATACAGATGTGGATCTGCCTTGTCTGATTCTGCAGGACCACACGCGGCTGTGTTGTGGTGACCTGTCCACAAATAGACAGACTTCTGCTGCTTCGCCTCCCTGCCAATTGGTGATGCTCATCAGGAAAAACTTCAAGCTCTGTTGTCATCAACCTTTATTGGCCACTTCAGAGTATTTATTTTTCACCCTTCTAGAAAGCAAACTAAGAAGGCAGTACATTAGATGAAGGCAGCCAGTGAGAATTTTTGCCCATGGGGTGCCCTGAAGTTACTGGACTCCTTGGCCAGACCTCTGGGGCCTGTGTCTTGCAGGAGGTCAGGTGAGCTGGGCCTAAAGGAGCCTTCGACCCTCAACACCTCAAGTTTCAGTTCGTCTCAATACTGGGGAAGCTTCACCCTCTTTCCCTGTGATACATCTATTACTGTAACTTGCATCAGCACCCCAACACAGTGCAGTAAAATGTTGGTGCAGCGTGGCAGTAGCAATGTTGCTGTGGAAACCATGATATTTTAATTGCCTGATTCAGGAGAAGCCAGGTATTCGGGCATTGTGTAACAACAGCTCTACTGCCAAAAGATCTGGCATGCAAGACTCTGCCACAGACCAGCCTGTGAGAGCCATGTGGCACTAGGCAAGCTGTTCTCCCTTCATAACCTTCAGTTCTCCCCAGCCCAGGCCATCACCCTTCACCGTCTGGGCCCCTACAGATGGCAAAGCAAACCTCCAGACTGGTGACAGCCTCTTGCACTCCATTTGGGCACAGCATCCTGGTCAGACCATCAGACACCTCCTCAACATGAAACACAAGTAGGTGGTAACTGAATCTTGACTGTGCTCCTTATTCTGACATGATGGTCTAGGATGGTGATATTGCCTGTATGCTAGATGACCCATCAACAGTCCCTCTAAAAAAATGAAAAATATCTCAAGCAGTGTGCATTTAACTCCTTACTTCTATTGACTAAGGAGTTGATAGAGAGAATATTGACAAAGAACTCTTTAGTCAATAAAACTTCATTCTATGAAGTTCAACTTCAAGATCAGTTGAAGCCCACAAAGCACCAGGTGCAGCTTGAGACTTGACAGATTCCATCAGGTGAAGGTTTCCAGACAGGAAAGATGCCTACACATCTATTTATAGGTGTCTATTTATACCGCAGAGGTACTGGTTGCTGATGAGCGCACAGCATGTGGCCAGCTGTGGATAGACCTGCTTTCCACTGAGCAAGTATTTCATTGGTACTTTGATCAAAACAGGCAGATAATTCTGAGAGCCCAAAACTGTGGTACAAAAGGCACATAAATCAGGTATTTCCTGGCCATTTTGCCTAGAGAGTTGTGCTTTCTTGCCAGATTTCCCATGCAGCAGTCAGAGAAAAGAAAAAAGAGAAAAAAAAAAAAAAGATTACTAACAAAAGGGCTGGTGAAGTGAGGTAAAGACCAGGGAGAGGACATGGAACAGTTTGGCCAGATGAAAGCTGAAGGGCAGGAGGAAAGCAATGGCCAAGAAGCAGCAGATGGTCCAGGGGACATTCTCTGATGCATGTCCCTTGGTGTCCCATTTCTACCAGAACGCCCTGAGAGCTGATCCAGGACATTATTACCCCAGTGTCCTGCCTGCCTTTGAAGCTGGCAGACCTGAAAACAGAAGCAGGAGATGCTCTGCAAGGTGGCCAAGGACAGATTACTATGGCCAGGAAGGTGAATGGGGGGATGGCCATGGAGGGGAAAAGAGAGCAAGCATGAGGCATGAGGTGGGGTGGAGAAGGAGAAAATGGGGTAACTGGCATTGCTGGGAGAGACTCAGAGCAGAGGTGTGCAGGAAGCAGTGGGGAATATGTTGCAAAAGGATAGGCAAAATGGGATGAAGTGCAGTAGCAGGCACTTGTACTTCATGGCTGTGGGACGATGAATGGTTTGGGATTTTGAGGGAACCCAGCCCAGCATTAGGGGATCACAGACTTACTCAGACCTCCAAAAGGGACAGAAACTCAGCACGATACACTCCCCAGCAGACCACGTTGCAGGCACCCAAGCTACAACACGTCTGTGCCTTTCTATGGGGTCTTTGCTTGTCTGAGGTCAGTGCCTGGTAGACCACGTCAGGTTGCTTCTCACGTTGCCCATATCAGCATATTGTGCTTGCCACTGTTTATCTTGCATCCCTGAGCAATGGCCCCTAGGGCTCTGCAGTTGGGTTTTGTTTTATTTTGTGGAGGAAGTGACACTCACAACACGCTCAGAGGTTATGTGGCTGCATTGCAACAGCTCTCATCTCACGCGGAGACGGAGCAGATCCGAGTGGTGCAGATGTGATGACTCAGCTGTGCTGGATTTTGCGGTAGTGGAGCTCCACCGACATTTCCCCAGAAACCTTCTGGTTAGCTTAGTGCAGGACAACAGGGAATTGAGCCTAGCGAAGCTGCCTCAGGGCCAGGAGCCCAACGCAAGCCTTCAACAAAGCCCTTCTCCTCCGATACCGCATTGCAGCACAGGAGAGGGAGGATCTGCACACCTCCTGTTTGGTGCCTATGATGCAGAAACACCCACCCGAGCTGGTTGCCCTGGCCTCCTCTCACAGTCAGCGGAGAGGAAACAAATGCTGTTAGGGCACAGCTCCTCTGGCCCAAAGAGGGGGACAAAGGGGACAAAGTCAGCTCTGTAGGCTAGGCGAAGGAACGCTGCACTGCTGAGACACGAGGTGGCTAAGCTTGTCTGGTTTCATTTGTTCTGTTGGCCTTGGAGTGAAGAGCAGGGGTTTTGGGCATCCAAGGACACCCGATGACTTTGTCCCAAGTCTCAGAGCACCAGAACATCAGTGATGGCCGAGAAGAATCACCTTCACCAGGAACATCACCTGTCCTTATCAAGTAGCTAGAAGCTGAGGAAAGGTCTGGTCTTCTTCACCAGGGGGACCACTGAACCCTTATGAGGGTAGATACTCCCACAAATTACCACTCTACCTAAATGAGAACTGGTATTCCCCCCCCCAAATTTCCATCTGCGGTGTGAATTCAAAACAAGCCTTTACTAATCAGCAATGCTGAGTTTGAAGATAATGTCAAAGTTGTGCGTAGCCCAGCTCCGCTTCTTGTGATGGAGCTGCATGCATTAATTGCTAAATAGCGTTGTTTCGAGCTGTATGTACACTTACATAACCTCGTACCATATAATCAACACATTTCGTAGCACGAAGAGATCAATCATTCTGATCCCCGTCACAGAAATACTCTCCCGCTCCGTATCATGTCATGAAAACAACCAAAAAGAAACAACAAAAAAAAATTATATGTGATCAACCTCCACACCTGCCACCACCAAAGAAGTGGCGGTGGTACTGGGGAGGGGTGGCAGGGGCTGCAGGATGTGTAGGGCACACCTGCTACGGTGCTGTGTGGGCTACATACAGCACGTGGCTGGAAAATAACCATAATACTATGGTTTTTTGGGGGCTGTGTTGGGTATTTGTGGGAACACAGTGCTTGAACAGGGCCATGAGAGCTTGTGAGGGAGGCAGAGTGCTTTCAGTTGGACATTGGCAATTTGGGGGATGTTGGGCTCCAGGGGAGGATGCAGCCCTGTTATTGCCAGTTCTTCCTCCCTGAGGGACTGACGTTCAGGATTTCTTCCCTATGAGGATGCAAAGTAAGGTAAAACAAAGGTGGCTGGGAGCATTGCGCACCCCATGGCCCTACAGCAAGGAATTGGGACAGCCTGGGACCCATCACTGTGTGGAGCCTTTAGGACACCCTCCTCTCCCATCCTCTGCAGGAGTCAGAAGTCTGAAAAAACAGCAGATAGAGAGCAGAAGACTGTTGCTCTGGTGGACAGCCAGCCCCACAAAGGCCAGTGCAGCCTCAGAAGGGACACCCCAACTCCCCAGCCAGCTCTGGCCCCATCCCAAGCACACGATGTGCCTCTCCCAACACAGACACCAAAAAACACAAGGATGCTGTTGAGGCCCTGGAGGGTGCAGCCCAGCATCCTCAAGGCTCGAGTTCCCTCTGCTGGTTCTGAACACTTATTCCACTAAGGAAGCCTGCGTTGTGTGCTCCTGGGTTGGATTTTTTTTTTCCCCTCTCCAGTCTAAAGGGCTGTGCAAGTCCCCACTGCAGAATAAGTGTTTCAGGAGGCGAAATGCATTAGAGAGGAAGGAGGGATGAGCAAACTGCAGCTTCGAAGCTCAAAAGAGCAGCTCATAAACCCTCCAACCCCCATCCCACACCTCCCACACAGGGAGGATACATTTATTTTCTCTCTCCCTCCAGGCAACAAAGCAAGGGTACCAAGACCAGGTTTTATTTTTATACAAACTAAAAGCTTTTAGAGATTAAAGAAACACTGAAATGACACAACAGTGAAGCGTCCAAGGGGAAGCCTGGCTGCCCCAAACACTGCCCCGAGGCTGTTTGGATCCCCAAGGAGAATCTTCCAGGCACCAGGGCTCTTGCCAGGGAGCATCCTGTGTATGGGACTTGGGGTCAGGTCACTTGATGCGGTAGAGGACCTTGCGCTGCATGCGGTGCTGGATCTCCCCCCGCCTCATCATCAGCTGCAGCACCTTGTAGATGGCGTGCTCAGGGTATTTCTGGAGAAGAAGAGAGCAGGGTGAGAGAAACTGGCAGGGAAAAGCCCACCGCAGCCCAGCAGGGATCTGCCACAATGGCTAAGCAGCCTAGGGAGCCTGGTTTCATGGTCCAACCCCATCGCACCTGCCGCATGAAGTCCTGGACGATGCTGTGCTCTGACACCTGTGAGCCGATGGCGAAGCGGCGCTTGAGCTGCTTTTCGATGCGGGACAGCATCTCTTGGTCCTCCTGCGTCGTGAAGCCTTCTGCCCCTGGGGGGAGAGGTTGTGTGAGCTCCCTTATCCCATATCACCTACCACACATGCACATCCCAGAGATCTTTAGGGAAACTGTAAATAAATGCAGCACCACCCATGCTCACCTGACAGGCTGCCCGACATGGCTGCATCCAGCGTGGACACCTGGAAGAGCCTCAGGGCCTCCTCAACATCTGCCTCGGTGGCAAAGGGCTGCAGCTTCATCTTGCTGAGGGACTCCGCAATGCGCACGATGGCCTCCAGCTGCCTGCAAGATGAGGGGGATGCTCCTTGCTTTCCACTGGGGCTCCAGGGGGTCACCTTCCCACCACCACTCACCCCTCAAGGCACCCCCAGTGCTGCCCCATTCACAAGGGGCTCTCCTGAGCACCCCACTAACCCCCTAGCGTTATCCCAAGTGACACAAGGACTTGATCCCAACCCCATAGGTTTGGGTGGATGACGGCAGCCCCGGGTAGAGCCAGGCCCCGGGGTGCTCACCGGACGGTGATGGGGATGCTGGAGCGGCGGTCGCTCTCCTGCTCGTGCTGGCGGCTGCCGCTCCGCATCAGGATGTAGCGGTTCTTCAGCTTCTCCGCCGCTGCCGCCGACAGCCGGGGGCCACATTTCCTGCAGGAAGGGACAGGGGACGTGGCACTGCCAGGAAGGTGCCCCTGGCAGGGTGTCCCTCGTGTGCCCAGAGCCAGGAGCTCAGCTGCCCCGCTGCGAGGCATGGCCTGAGCAGCACGGCGTGACCCAGGCACTCACGTGCGGCAGAAGGAGATGAGTTTCTTCAGCTTGTTCAGTTCAATCTCGCCCTCCACGGCCTGGGTCTGCGTCAAGGCGCTCACGTGTAAGGACATCACGTGCTTGGCCAACGTCTAGGAGAGCGGGGGGCGGTCAGATAGCAGAAATCCTCTCTCTGACCTGACCACGGCATGGCACCCTCCCAAAAAACAGGGTGGCAGCTGGGCTTGGCTCAACACTACGCTCAGCCCCACACTACAGCTATTTAAGTTCCCAGGTATTTGCCCTGCTGCTGCTCCCATTACACTGATGGCACCATAAGAGCCAGCACGCCCCAACCTACCACGTCTCGCTCCTCGTTGTGCTCATCCTTGACGATGAAGATCATGTCGAATCGGGACAGGATGGTAGGCATAAAGTCAATGTTCTCCTCGCCTTTGGTCTCATCCCAACGCCCGAAGACGGAGTTGGCAGCTGCAAGCACCGAGCAGCGGGAGTTCAGTGTGGTTGTGATGCCTGCCTGCAGGGAAAGAGAAACGGACAGGGTCAAGGTCACGTCCACAAAACAGCAGGGCTAGGAGGCTATTAACTCATAGGAAGAGCTCCAGAGCAGTTTGCAAGGGCTCATCCTCAAGCATTTAGATAAAGCCCTCTTAAGCAGCACCCAATTGCTCTGCAATGATTCCAACATTGGAGAGGGTGACCACAGGAGCTGCACGGGGCTGGACCCATGCATCCATCTGGAGAAAGACTGGCTGAGACTCGAGCACTGAATAACTTCATTTAAAACCTCACATCAAGGGTAGACATACAAGACTACCCTCAAGTTTGCAAGTGGAGCCAGAAACTGAGGTTAAGTGCTCCTGGGTGCTGAGGAACAGTGCCCAGGGTCTCACAAAGGGAAGGCAGAAGAAGATCTGATGGATGGGGTGGATGGATATATGCAGCTGAACACCTCTTTGTGGTTTTACAGGTTAGGAGGGGCAAGTAAGCATGACCAGCAAGGACAAGTTGTGGTGGCTGTTCTACTACAAGGAATGAACAGCTCAGGTGCGAGCCAGAGGGAAGAGGAGGGAGGGAAGCTGCAAAAACAGAAGTTGGACAGTGGAAAAGAATTGAAACCCCAATTTAAGAGAAGGTCTGTCACCAGGATGCCAGGCAATTTCTGTAGAAGGCTTCTCACCTTGGCAATGGAGATGGTCTGCTGCTCCATGGCTTCGTGGATGGCCACACGGTCATCCTCCCGCATCTTCTCACGCAAGGCGGCAAATGAGGTGGGGGGAAAGAAAATAAATAAGAGCCGCTGTCAGTTACCTCTGGTGGCCTTCAGCTGAGCGCTGGGCCCCACACACCCCACGTTACCTTGTCAAACTCATCGATGCACACCACTCCGCCGTCCGCCAGCACCATGGCTCCCCCCTCCATGAAGAAGCTCCTTGAGGATGGGTCGCGGATGACCGAGGCTGTCAGGCCAGCAGCGCTGCTGCCTTTCCCCGAGGTGTATACCTGGGTGTGTGGGACGAGGAAGGGGACAGCACATCAGCCACTGCACGACCCGGGAGCCCACGGCCACCGCTGGGGAGCGAGACAGCTCCGCACCATAGCCAGAGGTGCTGGAGGAAGGGCAAAGCCCTGGGGGAAAACCCCTCAGCACATGCCAAAAGCACGCAGAACAGGATTACTGTGCAGTCCCAAGCCTCGGACGAAGCAGTTGTGACGTACCCAAGGGCTTGTAGACACACAAACACAGGTATTAAGCACAGAGCACAGCGTGATTCATTGTTTGGTGGGCTGCTGCATTCGCTTTGTTTTCCCCCCCGAGGAAACAACGCAGTCAGAGGCTGACTTTAATGGAGGTTACAAGAAAACACAGCTGAAAATATAAT